GGAAAACCAAGGTGGGGGTGGGGAGGAATTTCCTTCTTGCTGGTTTTGAGGAAGAGTGAGCCTGGGAAGATTGCGGGGGATCCGAGGGGAAGGCGAGGTAGGAAGGTAGTGGTGGGGGGAGGGGGAAAAGAAAAAGGAAGGAGCTTCCTGCCCAAGGCTCACTCTCCCAAGAGCAGAGAAGTTGGGAGCTGAGCGGGCTGGGGAGGAGTGTTGGTAGCGGGAGAGGTGGTGCGCTCCGCCGCTCGCCCTCTAGCGCGGGCGGGCAGGACGCGCGCGCTAGGGAGCGGCGGTTGCACTGGGCCCCCAGAGCTGTGGGCACCAATCAACGGTTGCCATAGCAGCGTTTGACGTCATCGTGCGTGTGGTGCCCCTGCTGCCGGGGCTGGTGATTGGAGGAAACCCCGTGTCTGCGGAGCGGCTGTAGCCTGTGAGCAGCGAGATCCAGGGACACAGTCTCAGCCTCGCCGCTGCCGCCCAGAGACTGCTGAGCCCCCGTCCGTCCGTCCGCCGCCACCCACTCCGGGCACAGGTAAGAGACCCGGCCGCCGCCGCCTCGTCCTACTCCTTCCTTTCCCAGACCAGCCTTCGGAAAGCGCGGGGGCCGTCCCCGCTCCACAGCCCCTCAGCCCCGCTCGCCCGGCGGTAGCGGCGCTGGGCTGAGGCGGAGTCTCCTCAGGCGGAGACGGGCGGCGGCTTTTCCGCTGGGTTCGGGCGGGCGGCTCGCGGCCGCCTCGGGCTGCTTGCTTCCGGATCGGCGCCTTGGCCCCGATAAGCTCCGCTTCCCGGTCCCCGTCCCCCGGGTGGAATGGGCGCCCACACGCGAGATCCCCAGGGACCCGCCCGGCCTCCGGCTCCCGGGGGTGACCGAGGCTCCGCTGGGCGCGATCCGTTCCCACCCTTGCCGCCCCCCCCCCTTCCCCCCAAAGCCCCTTCCTCGTCGCCGCCCAGCCTCCCGCTTCCGCCCGAGATAATGACTCGGCGGCTGCGGGCATTGCAGTGGCGCAGGTGAGGCCGCCCCCTCCCCTCGCCGCCCTCCCCTCCCCCTGCCTCTCCCGCCCGCTCCTCGGCGCAGCCTCCGCGCCCCGCGCTGCGGCGACGGCACCCAGCCCTCCCCCACCCG